AAGAATATTCAGGAAAAGACCAATGCTAATCAAGTAGTAAACAGGTTCCAATTGATTGATTCTTAACAAGTTTTGGTTATTGATACAGAAAGTATAAATCTGTCATATAATGTTTACAGATTTAAAGAAGGTGGTTGGTGTAACAGAAGAAGTAAATTAGAGAAATGTTTAATGTTGTTTTTAATATTGATACTCATTGTTGCTATTGGTTTAATGGTAGCTTTAATAATACAAACAAAGGAAAAACCACCAATGGGTAAGATATTTTGTTGAAGGTTCTGTAAAAGGGTCTTTGAGCCATAGTGGGGCACTTATTCTGTTAACACCAGTATAGTTTCCAGCATCCGTATACGTATAATTGCCAACAATCATTTATAGCCTACTCGGTTTAGCCATAGAACCCCCTCCCCCTTGGGACAGAAAAAATGAAAAATTTATTCAACTTTCATTACCAAAATCGCGTTAGATGCATTCTCCGCCTTCCTAGATTACAACAGTTTCCAGGGGGAGACCCAACCCAACTCCCTTTATAATTGGAATAACGTTATTTCGGGACACGGTTATCAAAATTTCTCACGTAGTATTTCAATAAAAGATAATATAGATTTATTTTCTTGCAGCTGAAGTATCACCCGGGATGCAACAAAGTGGTCAAAAGATGTGTACTACCACAGACTGTGTTCGAGTTGGTAAGTAGGATACTCCTTCCTTTCGCCACCTTGGTATACCAGTCAATCCTTATCCAAAAACAAACGCGCTGCTGATAGTAAAATTGCCAGGCCAATTACATTTACTGCAGAAACTACGAATATAAGACATCACTACCAAAGGCCTAAGGGGTGTTTGCATGTCCAAAGATTTCAAATCCTTGTGGCAGCTGAAAGTCATATTGCAGCTGAAACATCTCTACATTTGATAACGAGGAATGATAAGTGGACTATGGAAGATCTTGTTAATGCCAGATTTCAACAACTCGAATTTAATCAGATGTGATTGAAAAAAATGCAGTTCCCAACAGTTACTTTCAATTGCTCATTGCTCATATACTTTAAATATCGGTGGCTAAGGGAATCTACCACCATCGAGATAATTACTTTGGCATTACATGGTCGATTTCTCCCCCTTGCCAACGAATGTGGTGATGTATTAAAGTCGCCGGCGACTTGGACACATTGTAAATTTTGGTTAATAGCTCTATCGACATTGTTATTTCCAGCTAGTAGAATACATGACGCTATAGACTATAAAGTTAAACCTTGTGATAATTTCTATGAGTTTGCTTGTGGAACGTGGAAGAAGAAGAATGTTATACCTGAAGATAAGTCCGCATACAGCAGCTTTGATTTAGTAGCTGACGATGTTAATGTTATTCTGAAAAGTAAGTACATGTATTAGATCAACTGGCTTAAGCTTAACTAACTACA